GAGAGAGAGAGAGAGAGAGCACTTATATAAGCTTTTCATTCATGTTGGACAAAATACCATGCAGATATGCACCTTTTGTGTTTTTCTGATTTTTTGTTTGCGGAGTTTGGTTGATTGTCTGATGTGTGTGGTTGCATGCATGTGCACACACTCGCGTTTCGCAAAATGCTGTACAGATTCCATCAGTTTGCGAAAGACAAGATGAGTTGGAGGCCAAGCAGAGGTGGGTGTGCTGGGGGAGAGGGGGGAGGACTTCGACGCAGCACCACACTTAATCAGGGTGTTGCCCAGCTAAAGAGGATGGGCACATCCTTTAGCGCGAGAGTACAGAGAGTATTCTCTGAAGATTATCAACGTGGTATGTGGGAAGTGCGCGATCCGAGGAGCAAGTTTGTTCAGCGATGGAACGCATTTTTCATAATAGCATGCATCATTGCCGTCTTCGTCGATCCACTTTTCTATTTCCTTCCTTCAGCCGACTTAGACAATGCTTGTATATACATTCAGAACCGATTCGCTGTGGTTGTCACGTTTTTGAGGACAATCATGGACCTGGTTTTCCTCCTTCATATTCTTCTCCAATTCAAGGTTGCGTATGTCGCTCCATCGTCAAGAGTTTTAGGAAGAGGGGAGCTCGTAGTCGACAAGAAGGAGGTCGCGAAACACTATCTCAAGAAGGGATTCCTTTTGGACGTGATTGCTGTGTTGCCCGTTCCTCAGGTAAGTGTGTGCTTCGAACTTTCACAGCCCATGCCCCTCAGTTCGATTAGGATTTGGAAGGGATCGTGGACTATTTCATCGTTTCGATCTCTTGTTTGCTGAGGTTGTGCTGGCAGCTACACATTGAGCCCTTTGAGAGAGAATAGAAGGTGAAAAAAGAGCACCCATGCGCAGTGCAATTCTGACATTTGCTGTGTCTCTGTGTTTGTACATATGTGCAGATGTGAGTGGGTGGGTGCACGTGTTTGTGCTTAGGTTTGTGTGTGTGTGTGTGAAGCGGTTAAAAGAGCCCTACATTTTCAGGGTAGGGTTTTTTCAGGGTTATTATAACAAACGTCGCACACCTTTTAAGCCAGACTTGTCACCACTCCATAGAGTGGACACCAAACTGAAAAGTGGGGGTCCCAGTTAACCGCTTGTGGTGTGTGTGTGTGTGTGTGTGTGTGTGTGTGTGTGTGTGTGTGTGTGTGTGTGTGTGTCTGTGTGTGTGTGTGTGTGTGTATGTGTGTGAGAGAGAGAGAGAGAGAGAGAGAGAGAGAGAGAGACAAGGAGAGGGGGACCTATAGCCGTTACATACCTGGGTCGAGTCTTGGACTGTGTGAGCAGCAGAGACTGCAGGAGACATGGACACTTTCTGTTCTGTGTATAATAAAGGCATTTTGCGTATCAATCTCTCGTGTGATTCTTGTGTCTCGCCTATCGGTTCCAAATGTGAACACTCATCTGGATGCTCGTTGCATGTGTGTGCGAGGCTAAGGGTGATTGACTTGGGAATCATTGCATAGTCTACTATTCTATCTTTTTTCTATGTGAACTAGTATAGGGTTTCTTTCTTTTTTTTTTTTTTTTTTTTCAAGGAAAAAAGTGTGACAGCCTTGAGATATCATCGTGAAACTGACCGGCCCCAGTAACTCAGGGTGTGGTTGCTTTCAGTTGATTGTGGTGTAGCTCTTCTTATGATCGAGCAAGACATGAAAACACACGATGCAATTCCTTCTTTTTTTTTTTTGTGGTCATCTTTGCCGATATTTAGCAGGAGATGGTGGCAACTGCTATTTATTTATTTATTTATTCATTTAATAATTACATGATTTAAGTCCATTTAAGTTAATTAAACTTAATGTTTTCTTATGTTCTTGCACTGATTACTTGTTGTTTGCTTTTATTTCTTTACTTTTTATTCATTGAATCATTTGAATGGCAGTAGCGAGGACTCAGTTGCGCGTGTGCATTCGTCTGACTCCTGTTATTATGTGTTGCTTGGCTCTTTGATTTCCTGTGAACGCTGCTCAAATTGCGCCAGACAGTGATGTGGATTATCATCCCAGCAATGCAGGGCAGCCCCGCCAAAAATACGAAGAATTTCTTGCGGCTTTTAGTCCTCATCCAGTACATACCCCGCGTTTGGCGCATTTTCCCTCTGATATCCATGTTGCGAGAACCTACTGGCGTAGTGTTTGAGACGGCCTGGGCAGGCATTGTTACCAATTTGGCTGTGTACATGATTGCCAGTCATGTGAGTTTTGCAACCACCTTTCAGATTCTCCCATTGCCATTCTCTCTGTTGCTCTCACAATCTCCCTCCCTCCCTCCCTCCCTCCCTCCCTCTCTCTCTCTCTCTCTCTCTCTCTCTCTCTCTCT